TTTTTATAAAATATTTTTTTAAAATTATATATCTTATAATAAGAATTATAAGTCTTATAAATTTTATATCAACCTAGTTGTTGGATAAAATAATAAATGATGTTTTATAGGATAAGTTCAAAGTTTAAATTTTGAGATCAATACTAAAAAAGTTAATTTTTTTAGATCAAGAATCCTTATCCCTTTGAATTCTCACAAAAAATTGTCTTTTCCCTTCGAATCCCCTTTTGAAGGTGAAAAGAGCAATTTAACCCTATGCTTGCCCAATGGTTGCAAATTAGCTCCTCAACTAAAAACATGCATAACTCAGCTACTTAACATATCATATTATAGGAAATCAACCCTAATTTTATGGCTTACATCCAAATTATTCCAAATGGAGAGATGGTTCTGGTGGAATTTGACACTTAAATGGCAATGAGGGGCCTTTTTTATCCCATTGGTGCTTATGTGACATGGGAATAAAGCAAGATTGAAAAAAAAAAAAGAATAAGAAATCTCTCTTTAATTTTGTCTTTCTTCTTGTCTCCATCTCCACCTTCTTCTCTCTTCCTCCCTCTCTCACCCTTCTAACTGCACAACAACATCATCGACGAAGATTTTTGCCACAACACAAGATCAAGTTTATGAAATACATTTTCAAAATTAATCTTCATAAATCTTCTAATTTGCAAAATTTTTCCCTACTTCAAATAACATTCTAAAAACCTCTACCCTATCCACCAGAAGACTTTCTCTTTTATCCAACTCTGATATGCGCCTAAAGAACAGTCTAACAAACCTAAGCCATATCTTGAGAATTCTTGAATCGAAGTCTTTTTTTTTTTCTTTTAAAATTTTGATAACCAAAATATTTTGAATTTTGCATTAGGTAAGCATTAAAATAATGTCAAAATGTACTAGCTAAGTAATCAAAGACAGAAGGATAACAATTACTGATATCATCTCTCAAATAAGGAGTCATTTGCAACCATATGAAAAGTTTGAGGGTTTAAAAGCTTCTATATTTAGTTAAAGAGATTATTTGCCACCATTCAATGAGTACAAGTGCCCAATTTGCCTTTCTGCTAATTTTAAATGTATAATTGTTAATTTGGTGCATATGGTAAGTATGAGAATATTATAGTTGGAATTACTAATTAAAGGGAATGCAAACGTATTCTTGATTATTATAAATGAGCTACAACTCAAGGTATTCTCCATCTTAAAAAAAATGGCTTCTTCTCTTAAATATTCCATGTTCCTAGTTATCCTATTTGGTTTTTTCCTAGTTATAAGTGATGCAAGTTTTTTTAGACCACACGAAGCACACGTTCAAATATCCAACGACATAGGCCATGGGATTGAACTCATTGTTCATTGCAAGTCAGGGGATGATGATCTTGGAGAACAAAAGCTTCAATACCAAGGTACTTGGGGATTCAGATTTCGACCTAATATTTGGGGCACAACACTATTTTTTTGTTCTTTTAAATGGCAAGACCAATTCCTTTACTTCAATGTTTTCGATTGGAATAGAGATTTCAAGGACTATTTTGAGTTTTTGTACTCTATAGTGCCAACTAACCCTTGCAAGTACAATGTCGGTACCAATAAGTATGATATATGTTATGAATGGAACAAGTAGGATGTGGTGCAAAGGTTGAGAATATTTGGGCATATTCATTTGTTGTTGATTTTCAAAAAATTCAATTGTTGTTGAGAATAAAATTAATAAATTATGCCCATTAATTAAATTTACAAATTAAGGTAAAATCGTGAATGTTTTTTATTTTCATTTCATGTTGATGCACTATGTCCTTTATTTTATATTTTAAATTTCACTTGTTTTGCGATAGAAAGTATAAATCCGTTAAATTATTCTCTTGGATTTGATAAATAAATAAATAAATAAGTTTCCTAAGAGCCCTTAGGGCTTGTTTAATTGGTGGTAGTGACTATTCTTTGGTTAAATTATAAAAAAATATTAAAATTGAGAAATTTTCATAAAGAGTTAGAAATAGCTACCTTAATGTCTAATTTTCATATTAAATTAATCAAGGAATACTTATTGCTTAAAAATGGAAAAAATACAAATTTCAAATTCATCCCTTAGTTTAGTGAAAAATTATCGACATTAAGGCTTAGGCTTCATTTGTCATACTTCTCATGCCTCTTTTACATGGTACCTTATCTAAAAATGTAAATTTATTATCTTAATTAATTTTAATTAATCTTTTAAAATATTTTTATTAATTTTAATTAATATTTTATATATTTTTGGATAGTAAAAGACCAAAAAACCAAACGCTACAGCACATCACAACACAATAGAGATAAATGAAGCCTTAGCTATTCCTAACTTCCTAAGAAAGTTTTTCAAATTTAACTTATTTTATGGTTGACCAAGAGAAAGCCACTATTACTGATCAAATATGACTTTATCTTCATGCAAATTGGAAATGGCATAGATCAAATAAAGCTTTGTCTGAATCACAAATGTTTTAGCCCTATCTTGGGTGAAATTTGCTATACAAAAATTAGTAACAATATGTTTCAATTAGCACCCACTCATCATCTCTGAGAGGCTTCAACATTATTTTCCAATTAACAATTACACTAGACATTTTTACAGCTAATACGGCCAAATTTGGAACACAAAAGCTAGACTTAGGGGATGAAGACTCTCTAAGTTTTGCAATAGTACCAACATTTGCCATGACAATGGGAGGAATTCTTCCTTCCGAGATAGCTGACAGCTTAATTGAGCAGAATTAAGTGGAAAAGGAAAAGAAGTCCTTGTCAAAATAAGAGGAACTGATAATGTCAATTCAAAGTTTTAGGACATGATATAGATGCTAGTGAACTGATAATGTGATTTTTGAATATCAAAAGATTAGTACAAAAAAATATTATTTGTTCTTACAATGTTAAGATCTATATTTTAACTTAATGGGTTTGACTTCTCAAAAATTACTGATGTAATTTTTTTATTTTTTGAAGCATATATTCCATTTACCAAAAAAAAAAAAAACTATTTGTTCTATCTCTCTTATTATTTGGTTCCACACCTCATGATGTGGCTTGGAAGATTGGCCAATACATTGGCTTTACCAACACCAGAATCATATTCAATTAGAGCTTCAAATTCAAAGGGCAAATGACCTATTGATTAAGTTAAAGATGAAAAAGATCAAGAGCCGAACGACATATTTAATGAGTAGCCAAGAAATCCAACAAGGAGAAAGCTGTTTGTGAAACAGATTAGAGAGGAAGTAGCATCTCTATGAGCAGTCTTTTATATACTATTACACATATATAACCATTATATTAAAGCCTTTTTTAAAATCATTTTGAAAATTATAGAGATATTGAAGATTCACCAATGGCAACAAACATTGAAGATGTTGAAAATTATTCATTGAGCCAAGGAGAACTTGGTCACGCCGCGAGCCAAGATGAATTTGGTCAGGTTGTTGAAACATTTGCTAATGGACAAAACAATTTAAGGTATTCAACTACAATAGCTTTAAAAAAATATGAAATAAAGTTGTTTTACTAATGAATATTGACATGTTTATGTGCTTTTTATGACACTTTATGTAGTGCAAGTAAAGGATTGAAGATTGTGAAGATTGAGAAAGAAGATAGACCTACCAAAGCAGTTTACAAGTAAGATTACTCACATAAAACAAAATATTTTTGGGTTGTTTAAAATTATCATATTAACTACATTAATTTTGCTACAATGCAGGGCTAAATGCAAGAATCAACGAGTACCCTAAACAAAGCACTAATCTATCACTACATTATAGAATATCACAATAAAAACCACTTTTTTTGGGTTTCAAGTAATGGGATTTGGGATGAAGGATGTCTTTTTTGAAGTGGCCTTGGTTGTGATCTTTAGTACTTTTGGACTAATTTACTATTTCATCATCTCTTTGTTGTGGCAAGTTGTTAAACTTTCTATATTTTTTTGTTAGGTATTTATGTTGGCATGTGAATTTGCATAGCAAATCGATGTAGCTACTATCTATAGTTTTTTGTTGAGTACTTTGGATTGCTTTTTTTTTTTTTCAACAATATCCATGTCTTTCAATTTGGTTTGCAAAAGCTTTTGTGATTGTTGTGGATTTCTCTTGTTTGATTTTATTAAATGATTGCTATTCAGGATTGTTTTGGCACCTAATAGTAATTGATGAGTAAGTAAATTATGATTTGAGTTCATTGTTGTGGTTTAATTGTTTTCAATTTGCTGTTATTTGACTTCATCATTTTATTTTGTAACCCTTGCCTAATTCTATTTTGACTCATATTGGTTCTTAAGTAGAAGATAAAATGGTTGGATTTTTATTTCAGGGATTTCAATAGTCTACCAAATGGGTTTGGTCAAAGTGGAGAGAAAGTATGACAAAGGCAGTTGGAAATGGGTGTACCTTCTATGTCTGCAATTTTTAATTTAGTTGGACTTGAGTGTTGCTTTGTTGAAATTTAACTACTGGATATTCATATTTTTTGGCTATATGGATCAGTGAAATATGGATTAGTTAAATTTTACTTAATTTATTATTTGAGTAATCATGTGTATTTCATATTATTTGATGTCACTACTCAATCTAAGTAGAAACTAAAATTTCCTTAATGAAAACTTAGCAAGCTTCTCATACCAACATGATGCTTTTACAATTTTGAGGGTTGTTTTGTGCATTTTAAACATATAATTATTTCCAATTTAAGATTTTGGTAATTAAATTGCTTTTGTATAACCATGTAAAGTCAGTCTTTAAGTGGGAGATTGTAAACTTTTTTTGGAACATGATCTCACCAGCAAAAGAAATAGTATAAACTATAAAGACCTACTCAAGCAAATTTCTCATATTTGAATTTTTGTGTAAGGGACAATAGAATTTAATAAGATTAAGTAAAATTTCATATATGCATTACTATAATATAAGAGTATAATATATTTTATCTCTCTTCTTTTAAGATTTAATATATTGCAAACACCTTGGGAAGTCAAGTGGAAAATGCTAAGAAGTAACAGTTTCCATTTGTAAAAACTTTCAGACATAATAACTTACATGTATAGAGATATTTCTTATTAAAAGAGCCTTCTTTGGCCCATCCTACGAGGAACCAAACAACACACCCCACAATACGAGTGTCATCTCTAGTAGTATGAGACAGATAGAAAGGATTGAGAAAGAGATGAGAGAAAGGAACAAATTTAGATGATAACAAAGATAGGAATAGACCATGGCTCAAGTTTCTTATTTTTAGATTTATGTCAAAGTAAGCGATGGGAGATTTTCTTAATGTTAATACGCACAACAATACTATGACCATAAAGTGATGTATTAACACCTAGAAATGGCCTAATGGGAGTAGATCCAACTCCTCATGAAAAAAGCTCTAGGCTAACACACAAGATTCATTGGGCTTCAAACTTGAGGTCAATTTCACCTAAGACATGGATCTAATGCATTGTGAGAAGTGTGTAGTGTGTGTAGGGAGCATGCCATTTCAATAATCATCCCCAAGGCAAAGGAAGAAGCGATATATATCCACAACAAGCAATTAAACATACAAAGCATGTGAAGCATCCAATAGGCATAGCATCCACAAACAAGTCTTATTTACACAATAGGTAGGACTCACCCAATACTCTATTATCGCCTGTAAAAGGTAAGTGGCAATCACATCCCAAACAAAAGAGTAAATGAGCATGATGCATGATGTATTTTCATACATAATCATGATGCATGTACATGTGAGGGAGTATATGATGCATGAACATATGAATAGTGCATGATGCATGTCAAAACATGGCCAATTACTTAAAAGGGTAAAGTGGTCAAAACACCCAATAAAAATCCAAGCAAAGCAAATAAGACAAAAGATCCTATGAGTAAAGACTCAAAACCAAAGAGAAATCAAAAGATGTAAAATCCCCAAATTTAAAGTATTAGCTTGATTCTCATAAACCAAAAATGTGGAAACTAGAGATTCCAAGTTTAAGTCCCTTGTGAAGTCACCAATCTGTTGACAGCCCACTTAAAATTTCAACAAAAAAAAAAAAAGGCTTGAAAATTTAAGCTTTTAATGACAAAATGAGAGTCGCCACCTACTCAAATGAAGGTGGAGCAAGTTACCACTTGTCTATAGGATTTTGGGATTTGGGGATACAGTTAAAGTGAGAAAGGGCATAAGTCCATCTCACAGTCCTCTATGTAAAACACAATTGCATATATTAAATTTACAGGTCTAATTCAACCCTAACATATACATCCTAAACCCATAGTCACAAATGAGATGAGTTGAACATTGCTTGGGTATAAGAAAGGGAATTTTAAAATTTGGGCTTAATTGAAAAGAACTGAAAATACACATACTTGAATGTGACGAATAAAAGCATGAGGGCTAAACTGTACACTTTTTTTGAAGCACGTTTGGATGAGCAAAAGATCAAGGAGACTTAAATTGTGAGAGATTTTTAAAGTGAAAATGGTATCAAGGTATCCTTTGCAAATCAAATCGATTTGTAATCACCATATCTTGAGAATATGTTGATCCTTGGATTTTAAATTCTAATTTTAATTTGATTTTGTCAACTGACCTTTAATTGAAGCGATTAATTTCGATCAATTAATATTAATTAAAAGTAATTAATCATTTTAATTAATTTAAAATACTTGTTACCCCTAAAATCCCATTGATCACACCTTGTGGTAAAAATTGCAATGAAGGCATGTCACTTACTTTTGCAAGAAAAGGAAGAAAAGAATTCACCAATGACCCTCCTCTCCCACTCATTTTTTCCCTATGACAAGGTTGTTGGAAGAACGTTGTTCAAAATGTAGTATGCCTAAATTAGATGATTGGCAAAAATGAGAGATTAATTCTTGCACAATAAGCTCAAATTTGCCTTAAAAGCACGTCAAGGACTTGGGTTAAGGCAAATGAGTCATGCACCAAATATGCACTACTCTTAGGCAAGTGAACCTAATCAATTATGCAATATAAGATGAGTAAGATGTCGTTCCTTTGAGGACTATTCTACACTACCAAGACAATATTAATCTAACCTAAGTTGAATTAACTAATTCATGTAACAAAGTTAAACTATTTAAAATAGAACTACTTAAACTAAAGGAATTTTCTAAGTAAAAGAAACTATGAATGGGAAGGAACTAGGGCTTAGATTTCATTTAATTTTGAATTATGCCACTGTTTAATTAATTTAATTCAAGTTCAAATAATAGTGCTATCGCATGAGATGGCAGATTTCCCTCAATTAATTAACTAGCTTTCTCAAGTCAAGTTAATCCTTAACTTGTTTGTCAAATTAATCATATCTTTATATAATTTTACAAAAACTCATGAGCATTAATTTCTATGAAAACCTCTTGCTTAAGAAGGGGAGCTACTAACTCTCTTCTCTTCCTCCACTATCACATATGAGCTAATTACCTCTCGATCTCATAATTATATTATTATTGGTCTAATTTATGCAATTCTTTCTCAAATTCATACATAAGTCACTAAATCAATTAAAAAGTGATCAAGCTCTCAATGCATTAAGTTCAATAACATAAACTCATCATGCAAATAACCAATAAGTCTTGAAT